CTTTCTTAAAGATCTAGTTTTTTAAAAAGTGTTTACTGTTGCTTATTAATTATCTATTTATTTTATACACTATGAAGATTGTATCCTTTTCAAAAATTTACACTGTATTTAGCTATTAATTCTTTTTATCTTTTATTGTATCTTTCATTTAAATATTGTCGTTTTGAAAAATTTACTTTTTGAAAAGGTGTTCAAGAGCCTAATAACACTGTTGCGAATTAATTCAACAAAATGTTCAATATCATTAAGGGATTGCAAGGTACAAATGGTCAGTGATCATAAAAGCAAATACAAACAGCTCTAAATACACTAAAAACTATACTAAATTTATGACTGAGACTACACAGACAATATTTGACACAGAATTAAATACGTATAGTTACAAATATTGATAAATACAATTTAAACCTCCTGGTCCATGAATCTTTCGTTAAATTTGTAATTGCATACTTTCTATTGCTATCAAAAAATTTGACTTTTTATCATATTTATTATATTTAATTGAAGTAGAAAGAATTTCTAGTTTTTCTTATCTATAGAGAACTGACCATCGTTTAAAAGGGAAATCAGGATCGAATATGTGAAAAATGTGACAACAAGAGTGACAAGTTTTTCTGCTCCGTGGAAACGTTGAATCGTGAAATTAACGCTAGAATAGATGAGTTTTACGTTTAATAGGGATTTAATGCGTTTGAAAAGGAAAGCAGTACTTGCTCACCTACTTCTCGGGAGACAGCAGATAGAGTCTGGTCTAGAAGCTTCTTTTCTTCTAAATAATCGATGCACTCAGAATTTATTCCAGCAGTGCATGTTACAGGAGCAAGATTTTCTCCCCGACACTGCTTTCTCACGTTGATTCTCAGTCTTCTCTGATGGCCATGTGTCCCTAAGAAACCACATATCCAAGGAAGAGCATCTCTAATTATCGTAATTCTTCCAAATATTCGAACTTCGAACAAACAAATTCTTCTCAATTCTTCCAATTCTCTTTTCACGATATCATTTTTCTCATCCCCCAATTTTTCTCGTCCCAAAGCCACAAATCATCTCGGCAAATCTTAATCAAATCACTTCAGATGAAAATCTTGAAAAGCAGATTCTGTCACAAAAATCTGAACTTCCCTCGCGCATTCTTCTTCAATCACTTCCGAAACATCGATTGCACGAAACACAAATCTCCGAAGGACTCGGTGCTTCGATAATTAAACGACTAATTCACAATGTAGAAGAAGAACAACGAGAAATTCCACGTAAAAAGTATCCACTACGAAGAATTCGACAGCATTTTTCGAGTCTTCTAATTAAATTTCGTTTTTCTTCTGTGGACAGTCCTTCGAGGTGTCGTTAATATAAAAACGAGCCGCTGCTTTTATAGGAAATGCAAGAAGATCCCGGAAAATTTGCACCACAAAGTGTCCCAGAAATTGAGTTCCCTAAGGAAGGCTGCTGGCTAATTGATACGTTTTCTCGACACGGAGAAAAACTACTTGTTCAACGTAAGGATGTAACAACCGGCTGGAGGACGGTGTAACACTGACCATGACCTTGCTCCTGCCGCGAGTATCCGCATGCTGAATCTATCGAGATCGGAGTAGCGTACGAACAGGTTACGAACCTTTCGAACGCCACCGGTATAACGGTCCTCCGGTTCTTTCCCTCTCTTCTTCGGCCTCTTGCGCTCCTTCCCGCGCCCAACCTTCTCTTCCGGTTCTCCCCGTCGAAATGAAACTTTACGCGCGCTCGCTATTGGAATTCGGTGAGCATTGAAGATCACTCTCGTGTCCGTCGACTCGATCACGATCTTCCGGACTGTTAAAAGTTTCCTTTTTCTCTCTGATTGACGATACAAAGTGATTTGTGTAGAACTGAACAAAGGTGAAGGACGAAGGTCTTGAGAGCTGAGGTAGTTTGTAAAATTTAGCACAATTTTTATTTGAGAATTGATTTTGAATTAAGTAAGTTATGAGGAGTGTGTGATTTATTGGATAATAAATTTGATGTAATTTTTAATTTTCAATCATTTAATTTGGGATCATTTGTAATTTACTCTTTGTTAGAGTGTCTAAATTTAATAGTAAATTTGATGTAATTTATAAGAAATTACAGAATAATTTGTAATTTATAATAAATTTAATTTACAATAATTTGAAATTTACTCTTTGTCAGAGTGTGTAATTTATTTAATAAATTATTTAATAATTTGTCATTTATAGTAAAAAGTATGTAACTTATTTTGTGTGCATATTTTTTTATCGAATTTGAGATTAATTCTACAAAAAGAATTATATTGAAGTTTGATGTTTCCCTAGGATGGAAACTAAAAATATATAATATACATACACTACCGGCCAAAAGTTTCGAATCATCTGCTAATTTACGGTAAAATTGAATCCGCTGCTAATTTTTTATAGATTTGAAATTGATGTTGAGGAGATCGATAGTATTTTACCTTATTTCGATTGATTCGAGCGAGGAAAAATTGGTTAAAATATTCTTAAAATTGATAACTTTATTCTGGAAATTTTTGTATAACATGTAATGCACTGTGATTCCAAACATTTGGCCGGTAGTGTATCTTGTAAATGCAATGTAATATAAATATTTTCTATTATGGCTATATTTGTATATGTATACCTTAGAATATGGCGAACCCAACTCCCATCAAGAACATTCACTGTATTTGCTTACTGAAAATTTTACATTCTTTGTAAATATTTAAGAGCATAACTTGGAAGATTGGGCAAATTCTAATTGTAATTATTATATGACTGTCACTATCATCGATCTATGTGTGAAGTAATTGTTTAGGAGAAAAGTGTAGGGTTCATTTGAAAATCAACGATCTTGTATTTTACTTTGGAAAAATGATATAATATCATTAGCAAAAGTGAATTATTTGTCATTTGAAAAATTTGGATAACGTTTGTTAATTTTACGCAAGAGATTGAGAAAAGGACGAACGATGTGCCCAATACGTGACCAGAATACGTATAGATTTCTGAGTAACGTGGTAATCATATTCAGGAATCCACATTCGTGTGTTAATCTCAAACAATCTAAATTCTTCACTCTACCAAAAATTTATTTCTATTAAATATTTAATCCACTATTTCTAAAAAGAATCTAAAATCTTCGCTCTACTAAAAATTTATTTCTATTAAATATTTGGTCTACTATTTTTAGAAAAAAATCTGAAATATTCACTGTACCAAAAATTTATTTCTATAAAATATTTAATCTTCTGACTATACATTTCTCTTCTTTCAACTGTCTCTTGAAATTGCCAAACATTTTGTCTTCTCACATGAGCCACTCAGAAGCCAAGTGACTTCTCCATCAAATAAAATTTGTTAAATTTCTTTTATTTATGAAAAATCAACCACCAAGCATGTGCGTTGATACTAAAATTAAAAGATTATCGAAGATAATCAAAAGAATAACGCACCTGCTCCGATTCTTAACTTCCTGCATTACCTACCTATGATCACAAAAAAAAAAGTATAGAAAGAAAAAATATTAAAAAATTGCAAAGAAAAAACGTCATAGGCGATTTCAAAATGATCAATCAAGGATTACGTGACACGTGTCACGTTCATGAACGCAACAACCGACATTGGAGGAATCATTTTTTGACGTCATCGAGCGGACTTACGGTACAGTGTGGCGTGTGCGGCCGCTATACGGGAACGACCTACTTACTGTTGCAACACCATTGCGGTTATGTATTGAATTTAACGATCGTTGAATCACAAGTCGAACCGTAGCATTGTAACAAACAAAGTTCGAGGAAAAGTTTGATCGTTTAATCGTTTGGTTACTTTCAAATTCTCATTCGTAGCTTTTACATTAAAGCGATGCTCCACTTTCGTCAACTTCCTGAATTTAAAAGCGCACCGAACGAATTTCTTATGCTAATCAGGCTGTTTTAACCGAACAAGAATCATAAAGTGACTAATATAAATATTTTAGGTATTCGTATTTTAGTACAAGATATAAAGTCAAATAATTAAGATCGATTTTCTTAAACGAAATGAAAATTTTATGGGATCACGTTAGAGTGATCAACAGGATTAATGTATATTTCCAAAGGTTACGCATAATTTCAAAGTGTGTGAAATGAAAGATTATTTAATTATTTTATACAGATTTCCAAAAGAGATACACGATTCGTCCTATTCGCGTGATTCACCCACCAGAATAAATTTTACTTTCTCCCTAGACTGCAAAGTACTTTCTACTTCTCATTAATATGCGTTGATTATAATTACCACGTAAGTCAGATTTGGCAGACTTGTTAACAGCTGCAATAGTAATTACACGTGCTACTACAGCACCCTGGAAAGTGATAGCATTCTCTAAACTATTAAGTTGATACATATGAAACGTCGTTTTTTGAAATGAAACATTAGATATATTTTGTTTCTTCGGAAAATAATGTATTTGATCAAAATAATTTCCACATTCTGATGGAAATATGTGGACTATAGTGAGCTATTTTTCAACCAGCGGTTGATGTACAATTTTATACATCTAAACATTCATGTATGATAACAAAAATAAGGATACACTTTGAAGAAGTGATTGTTTCTGAGGACGAGAACAATATTGATCACAAATAATGCTAACAATAATAAGAAAATAAATTTACCCAAAATTGGACTCGACAAAATAAAACCAATAGTTTAATTGAAGCCTTAATTTTGGGGATTATAGATATTTAATAATTAATTTAAGTCAAAATAGTTACAAAATTTGTATTGTTCAATTATAATTTACAAAGTGGGAGACGAGATAAAACGGTTGAAACATGGCTTGAGAGGTTGAGAAAGAAAAGAAAAGAGCTAAGAGCACCAGAGTGAGGCTAATTAAAATTAAGAAAATTTTACAGGGCAATAATAGAGTAGAAGAGAAAGAGAGATAAGATAATCTGTAAAAATAGGATAACGTAACCGAAGTCCAATTCTTAGCTGTAAGGCTGAATAAAACATATACAATTATAATTTACAAAATTATTGCTTTAATTAATTGAACTATATAACTAACTTAATTTTTTAATTTTATTTATTGTAATATCGATTATTGCTAAATTTCGTTTCTAATTCTGTTTCCAGGAGGATGTTGTGGGTCCATGAAGAAAAGGACCATCGTTGGGGGCTACGCCTTCACGTGGTGGTTCGTCACCGATGTTCAGCGATTGTCCCTCGAAGTGATGACGCTGAACCCTGTCTGCGAGAGCGTGGAAACCGCGCAGGGTGTACCATTGACCGTCACCGGGGTGGCACAGTGCAAGATCATGAAAGCGGACGAGCTTTTGCACACTGCCAGCGAACAGTTTCTAGGGAAAAGCGCTTACGAAATCAAAACGACCATCCTTTCTACATTAGAGGGTCATCTTCGTGCAATATTAGGTAAGTCTCGTTTTCGAATTTTTGCAAATCTTTATCATTACAGAGATAAAGCGATGCTTTTACTTATTTCGATGATTTTTCACGTTGTTCGAACGTTATTACTTTAACAACGATGGAAAATTCAACGTACACTGGCGTTCGTAAGTGTTAGGACACCCAGTATGTTCGTGTACAAAGTGTTATATGATTTAAATTACATTTCCTCGGAGTTTAAACATTTGAATTTTGGCAAGATTTTTAAATAAAATATGAGTATTGTTAGTATTAAATTATGTCAGTAATTGATTCACGTCTACCTTATTTCTATTTTTATCATTTTCTTAAATAATGGAAGAACCGGTGCCGAGTTGACTTTGTACGTCCCTGAACGACGCTCGAACTCCTTATCTCACCCAAATTGATGTTTTGGCGATCGAATTTCACGTGCTTTTAGGCCTGTCTAATTTTACGACCTCACTATAGCTCTAAGTACATATAGATATAACGTTTCTAGAGAATATTCAGTTTTAATTTTTAAATTCTTTGATGTGTCGCCCCTCGGGTAACAAAGACACATTCATTACCACGCGGAAGGAAATTGGGTCATATTTACCCTCCGAGTGAAAAGGTTAGGTTCGTCACTATTATGGAGGCTTTGACGAACAAGCGGAGAAAATTCTTTCATTTAATATACACTTGCTGCTTATACATTCCGTTTCATTTTCTCTTTTAATTTCCATCGTGTCATAACAGGTACTACGGTTATATTTCTTTTAAGAACTAATTGTTTTAATACTGTAATTAAATATTACTATAGATGCTTTCAGATGTTCTCAAAGATAATGTTTAGACATTGATCATTTCTTTCTTATCCTTTTATTCTATTCTATTTGTCATAAAGAATCTTTTTCTACGTCTTTATCGTTGTTAATAACTTAATGGAACTTTTCTTTCTCAAAAACTTACTTGTCGTTGCAATTTTCATTTTCAATAATATCATGCGTAATATGTCAATAAAATTGGTATAAGAAGTTTCACTTATTTAAAAGACGAAAAACTCCTCACTGCTCAACAGCAATATAAATATGTGTACTACGTGGAATAAATATAGCGAGCTCGTAAAATCGGTCAGAAGTCAAAGTAAACACATTTCAAGTGTTCGAACAAAGGAATTGACAGAAGTAAATATTGTATGAAAAGGACCCGAACTCTCAGTCAGCGCCGTATAATGTATTCACCGCGCATGCGCAGTCTTTATCCTCCTGTAAATTCTAATGATCTTCGTTTTCACCTGTATTCTGCTTCAATTTCTATTACTTTATCCACAGTGTTCTTCCAATGATTACCGTTCATATTTTTTATTTCATTCGGTATTAGTTCCACGTTCTAAAATTCGGCTAGCCAATTGATCTACGTTGGTCACGTAACTTTACGACACGTCAGACACAGAAAGAAACTTCAAATATTAATTGATATTTTTTATTTACCTGATAATACATGAAATACCGTTAGTCATCAGTTGTTATCTTTTTATTATATAAACCCTAATACAGAATGCCATATACGTTCCTGGCTGCGGCTAAATCAAGCTGTGTTGCCACTTGATGCTTTAATTTACGAGTGCGCCATACATTCGTTTTACCGACCTAACCTCTAAAATCGTTTGTTTACCACGTTGTCAAATATCAAACGTTAAAAAACAACAATAATAATAATTTGAGCGTCAGTGGGTTGAACCTAACCTCAAATATAGTCACGAAACCACGTATACATACTTATATCATATAGAAATCTTTGTATCACCGATAAATCGTTGCAAATAACCAACCGAAAGAAGAGAAAGCATCGTGAAAATTGAACACGAAAGGAGAACACTTGATATCTTTCAATTAAAGATGACACTCGTGGAAACTTTTAGGCACGCTGTCGGTGGAGGAGATCTACAAAGATCGAGATCAGTTCGCGACACTGGTGAGGGAGGTAGCCGCGCCAGACGTTGGTCGCATGGGCATCGAGATCCTGTCGTTTACGATAAAGGACGTCTACGACAACGTTCAATACTTGGCGTCGCTTGGCAAAGCACAAACTGCGGTTGTTAAACGGGACGCCGATGTTGGCGTCGCCGAGGCGAACCGCGATGCCGGCATACGGGTACGTTCACACGCGACTAAATGTCTCGAGGACACTACATGTACCGGGTGACACGCTCGACATCTTCAGTTACTTTTTACATATCGTCGGTTTGCTGGTAAAAAACACTAATCAATATTTATTTTATATAATA